TTGCTCTGAGACAGTGTTTTGGAGAATGAGGAAATGGGTAGTTATGCCACTCTTACAGTTCTCATAGCCAAGAAACAGACTTTCTTTGAGCCCATGGATGGTACTAAAAAAAATTTGCGTCAGCTGCTCCAGAAGTCATTGTGTATCACACGTGTGTGAGTTTATGTGTGTTGCTGTCTGGGCTAGATGAGAGCTATATGTGGTTAGTGATTTCATCCTAGCATCCACTCAGGGAAACCAGTACAAAAACCTCTTAGAATAAGTTTCTCACATTTACTTATACCTGGATATATTGCATATTACATTCTTTCTGCCACTGAAAAGATTTACTCTGTGTCTTCATAATGAGGCACTCTGCTGAAAAATAAAATTAAGAACGGTAATGGGGAATCCACTCTCCTCCCCCCTCAAAAAAAAAAAAAAGCATGTAGTGGATGTGAATGCTTAAGAATCTGGATGAAATGTTGCAGATTTTCAGTAATATTCAAATTATATTAATCAATAAAATAAAGATCGGAACCATTTAAATCTGTATTTTACATATCAAAAAATACATTCTTTATCACCCAAGAGTTATCACAGGTTTTTATTTTTTATGTAATTGAGTATGATCTGAAGACTTTGAACTTTCACATATGCTGTAAAAATTTCTGCTGGTTTGTCATTACTGTTTTGTTTAAAAGGGTTGTTTCCTGAATCTATCTAAACAAGGACTTTTAATTTCAACCTGTAGATGGCAGAATAACATCAGCTTCTTAAAAAGTGGTTGCTCAGAGATTTACCAATAGAGGAACTACCTATTATTAATGCATTTGGTTAAGAAACTCAACTTAAATAGTTCTGCGGTGTGTGCAGTCATTTTTAATGAACATCTAAGTTTTTTTGTTTTAACCATTACTCAACCATTCAAATATATGCTTAACAATAGATACTAGAGATACAGATAAGGTATCAAAATTCATTTTTAAAAGTAAATTTATGGAATGTCTGACAGGATCATATTAGGAAGAAAATAATGTTATGATGAGGTGACCATTTTTTGGCTTTTTTTTCATTTTTAATTCAAGAAATATACTGAATGTCCAAAATATATGAAATTCGGAAGATAATCTTTTACTCTTCTTGTCAAATTGCTTTCTAAACTATACTGATAATGTACTCAGCAATATGACTGCTTTCTAACCCAACAGTAGGGAAAAACAAACTCTTCTTCAGTATCTGAAATGAGAAAAATTAAATTGCCACCTCAATAAATTTTGATAAGTACTTGTGATGAAAATATGAATCTCTCATTTTAAGACTGCCAGTTAATGAGGAATAAACAGATTATTTCATGAACAAGATCAAGAATCTCTCTTTAAATAAAGGTATTCTAAAACTAGAACTATCCCTACTAAAATTACTTCCAAGATACAATGCTTGTGTCACTACTATAATTTTGCTGGAAGTATTAACCCATGCTTTAAGATATGAAATAAATAATAAGAAACAAGGTTTTTATACTATGCAGGTAATATGATTCTTTAAGGGGAAAAACAGACAAGAATCCACTCAAAAAATTATAAGAATCAAGGAGAGTAATGACAGAAAACCAACATGCTAAAACCATGTCTTTCTTACTACCGCAATAAAGTTTGGAGTATATGAAAACAAAATCCCACTTGAAACAGCGATCTATATAATCAAAACAAAATCCCACTTGAAACAGCGATCTATATAATCAAGACTGCTCGAATAAAAGATCATTGAAACTGAAGAAAAATACCTTAAATTGCCTATCTTATAAATAAGATTTTATTATGATTTTAAAAAGCTTAAAAATTCAGTGAAAATGGGCCGGCTGAGTGGCTCAGTTGGTTAGGAGCTCGCTCAAGAGTTTGAGCTCTGAGCAACAGCGGTTCGAGTTATGGCCTGAGCTGAGCAGCCGCTGAGCTGCCAACAGGTGGCAGGATGGCTCAGCTAGAAAGAAAAAAATAAATAAAAATTCAGTGAAAAAGTGAAGATTATTCAAAAAGTGGTGATGGAACAAGAACTGGATAATTTGAAAACATATATTGAATTTTATACCAGAAGTCTAGTAAAAAAATCATCTCCATAACAATAACAAAATACTGGGATAATTATACCATCTCATGATGGGAAAAAATTAAGCTAGAAAGCATTAAAAAAATGACAAAGGAAAAATTAATTTCACTGTATTACAAAAAAACCGTGTATGTTAAGACATACTCAAAGAAAAAAGATGGTAAAGTATTTACTGTAAATAAAGATTAATATTCTTATTAAAACAAAGATTAATATTCTTAATATAAAATAAATATTTATAAATTTATAAGAAAATTTATCATCTCCATTTCAACCAAAAAGAAAAGCTATTGAACAGGAGACAAGCAGCAAATGCCACCATAGCATGTTAAGAATTAGCACTGACAAAGCGATAAGATAAAGGACAAGGAATGCGATATAAGTACTACATTAAAAAAAAAAACAGCAAACTTATCCCCAAAAGGTCAAAATGCAAAAAAGATAGACAAATATGATCTCAAAAATTAACTGAATGGCCCTGCCTTTGTAAAACTGTGATTGAGAAAAAAGAAAAAAAAAATGCAAGCAAATGCCAGTTAAATTATATTTATTATATAAAGAGACCCTATAACTTGGTATGAAAAACAAAGCAACTCCAATAGGTTATTATTACAAAGGCAAAGGACATGAACGTTTGATCAATGAGGAAACACAGCTACTTAAAGAACAAATAACCTCATTAATAATCAAAGAAATGACTAGGATGCCATTTCTCATTCAATGCACAAGGTTAACAGCAATTTCTACTTTTTCTATTTTCTAAATGTACTCAAATGTGTTATTTTTTAGTAAAAAATTGAATCATTAAAAAAAAAAAACATCAAAAGTATGAAAACTTCTGCCAGTGCAGAAATCATAAAAAGCATTAAAATTAATCAACACTTATATGGGCAATAAGGTTCAGATCCCTGGAAGCCAATTGCTTTTGTCTTGGTTCCTGAGTTTTATTATGAGATCGTCAATAAAGAAGTTGTTCCTGATTTACACTATGACAATCTCCCAAGTATAGAGATATACATATATATGTAAATGTATGTATGTAAATTTTTTCTTCAGGTAGACATTCCAGGAAAGTACTTCTTGAGAATCACTCACACAGAGGATTCCTAAGATTCCATTTGCTGATAAGGTCCCATTAAGATCTCCCCATGTGGTTCTCAACCAGTAGGGATGCCCTTGGTATTGAAGAGGCTGAAGATCTACTTGAGTATTGCCTGCAAGATAGCAGTGTCCTAGGCTTCCTATAGCTGGCTCCTTAGGGAATCTGAAGTTGGTCCTGTCCTTTAGACATACCTAAAAGGATGTTTTTCTGATTTGATGCAGAACAGAGTACAATTTCCTGTTTGCTCAGGTCATAGCCTTGAGGCAGATCACACAAAATTCAGGATGCACATGGGCAGGAGAAGCACCAGGGCAAACACCTCAAATGAAATAATGTTAGAATGACTTAAATTGGGAGATCGAACTTAAAATCCTATAGTTTTGTTCAGCATATTTCTTTGCTTTGATAGTATCATAAGTTTTACTGAACACAAAGGTAAAAAATAGCAGAGCTCAAATTTACCGCAAAAGCAATTCTCTGAAACCTGAACTTTGCTAAACATGTATAAAAGCAACTCTACAGAAAATAATATACAAGCAGAAAAGTCTAAGTTTCATCTGAAGTAATAATTTAGTCAAATGACAAATTTGGTTCTCAAGTTAATATGTAGTGCTTATCTATCTCAATTCAGTATGACTATATAGACATTTATTCTCTGCTACTGAATGCCCATTTAAATAGAAATAGCTGCTAGGTAGAAGAAAATAATTTAAATGTAGAAACAATTTCACCATGCCTGAAGTTCCAATTTAAAAGTTATATATGTATATGTACGTATACACATATGTATGTATGTATGCATGTGTATGTATTTTCTCTCTCCTCCCTCTCTCTAGCAATACAGACTTAGGACTATACTGTTTTTATAGGTTAATAATTTTATTACTTCTCCTGTCTAATTAAGAAACTTCATGGGGCCGGCCGAGTGGCTCAGTTGGTTAAGAGCTCGCTCAAGAGTTTGAGCTCTGAGCAACAGCGGTTCAATGACCGGCCCGAGATGAGCTGCCGCTGAGCTGCCAACAGGTGGCAGGATGGCTCAGCTAAAAAAAAAAAGGAAAGAAACTTCACATACTCTGAGTGTACCCAACACAATCTGGTGAGTTGGCAGCTATGTCAAAAACTATGAAAAAAGGGAGGTAGCTAATAATTTTTGGCGACTTTTTGTTTAATATTTTAGGTTAGAGCTGGCAGCCTCGCTTTGATGTTTTGCAGTCAAAGATAAAAACTTTCAACTTTGAAGCAATAATGAATATAATCATACATTTACGACAGTCACCTACAATTTGACTTACACAACACCACAAAAAAGACATCTAACATTTTTTACAGATCTTTTTACATTTGTTAAAACAGCTGGCTGTGTTAATACATTTTCAGAATGCATTTAACCATTTGATAAACATACTAAGTCAAACAATACAAATAACATCAGTTACCTTTTTATCTAATGACTGTACTAATCATTGGAAGAAGATACAACTGAAGGGGCATTATGAGATCATCCATATACACTGCAAAAATATTAAGACCTTAGACCTAAGAATGATCTGAAGGTGCTGAAAGAGGCGATTCTCTAGAAGGTGACCCAGGGTTTTCTTCAGGTGGAAAAACTGTGAGAGTACAAGCTCGAATGCCACCAAGAGACTCTGGAAGGTCAAAAACTTTATGCCACTCATCCTTTTCTGGGTCATATTTCTGGACAATTTCTACCATACAACGATTATTCCAAGAATATCCACCTACAACATAGATTTTATTTTCAAAGACAGCAACACCAACATCACTTTGACCTCTTAACATAGCAGCAATTGGTGTCCACTGGTCAAGGGTTGGTGAATAGTATTCACAGCTTAGAACATCATCATAATCACTTGTTCCTCTGAAGTGATTGCCACCAATGACATAGAGCTTGTCTCCAACTGTACACATGCAATGCAGACCTCTGACTGTAGTCATTGGAGCCTTCTGCGTCCATTTGTCTGTGTCTGGGTCAAAACACATGAGCTCGTTTTGGAAAGTGTCATGAGTAATTCCTCCTGAAATATACATTAAGCCTCCATACACTGTTCCAGCATGGCCATAGTGGGGTTCGCTCATTTTTGCAACATAGCTCCACTCATTCATTCTTGGGTTGTAACATTCTACTGTGGCCAGTTCACCAGCGGCACTTCGCCCACCAACGGCATACAGATGTCCTTTGAGGGCACTCAAGTGGAAGAACGTGCGCTTTTCATTTAATGAGGCAACTTGCATCCATTTATTATACCGTGGATCAAATCTGAAAACTGTGTCAACAGCGGTTTTTCCTTTCGTATCATAATTACTTTGACCACCAACTACATAGAGAAAGTTTCCAATGACAGCAATGCCATGCTGGTAACGAGGAGCATCCATGGGGGCTAAAGATCTCCACTCTTGTGCCCTTTCATCATACATCCGTAATTCTTTACTGACAACCAGCTGCTGCCTCAAAACTCCTCCTAATGTAACCAAATGTGTCGAGTCCGATCGAATGGCAGTTCTATCTGACTGCATCACTGGCTGCATATATGGCATCATTTGGTAATTGCTAGCTTCCAAAAGCAAATTCACACAGGTATTATCCGTTCTCATGAAATCTACTGTCTGCACATAATTGATGAGGTCCTGTGGTGTCATCAGTGGAAATCGAATATTCTTCATCAATTTTGCAGCATAATCCATCCGAGGGTCTTCCAACCTTAGCCAGCGACAGGCAGCCTTGAAGAGCTCAAGTTCCGTACAGTGCTTAAGACTATTACTGGAAAGCACAAAGGCAAGCCGTTCAAAAGGGAGTTTTAGAAACTCCCCAGTACTCAACAATGCAGGAAAATTCTTCAGGATAAAATTATTGACATATTTATCCACTTCTATAAGATTGTAGGTGTTAGCTATTCGCCCAACTTCAACACAGTTATCTAAAGAGACTCCTGAAATAAGAAACACTTTACAGAAGTCCAAAACAGGTAAAATCTGTAAAAAGCTGGCAGCTTCAAGTGTGTCCTGAAGATTGTCCATATTAAGAGAGAGTTTTGCAGTATAAATAAAATCAATTATTTTCTTCAAACCAACTTTGTTCACCCCGTGAAGCTTAATGCACATTAAATCCTGTTCTTTCATTCCACCTGTAAACATGGCTTTGAAATAATCACTAGCAGACGCCATCATAGCTCTATGGACAGGGAAAATTTCATCTCCATCCCCTGGTACCAAAGTCACATCACAAAGCAATCCTTCTATTCTGAGCTGATCAAAGCCTTGCAATACCACGGAACTGTGAGTATTGCTGGTAAAAAATCGAGTGGTTCCTGCCTTGCAAGGCTGTAAATGGGCGGAAACGCCCATTTCGCCGTTACCAAGAGACACTTTCATGGGAAAGCCTCTTGCACAAAGACGCCAGAGAAAGAGATTAAAACCGAAATGCTGTCAAGGAAACGAGGATGTCCAAGGGGCTGGAGCGCTCACTTTCCTTGTCAAGGGCAAGCAGTCACCGTGGCACCCCTCAGAACACACCAATCAGTCATCCACTTAAAAGTGTTCTGTAGCAGGACCACAAAGGGCTGTAGACCTTAAATCTGATTGTTATGCGGATGACTCATCATCTGAAGGCAGTTAATTGACCCGGTTCACCTTGTCCGGCCTGCGCTGCCGCTCCTCCAGCAGTTCCGCTCCGGGCCAAGGGGGAGGCACCGCCACGTACTGCGGCTCCGCGGCTCGCTCGGCGGCGAGGCCGGGCACCTCAGCGAGCAGCCTGCTGCGTCCTCCGCTGTCACTACAGCGTCGTCGTGGCTCGGGCCTTTCTTGGAGCAAGAGCCTGGAACTCGGGCCTGGAACACGGGCCTAGCCCCAGACGCGCAGCCGGGTCCTTTCCGGAAAGGCCCAGTCCCAGGATCCCCCGGGCTAGGAGCGGCCGCAGCATTAACTGCGGCTGCGCGGCCGCCTAACTCGTCAGTGGGCGGGCGTGTGGGGAGCGGGGAGGAAGTGCGCGGAGGGTGGAAGGGTCGGTGGGGGAGCGGAGCTGTGCGGGCTGCGCGCGAGCGGGACCTCTTTGGGTCCTATGGTACGTGAGACTAAATGGGACAAAACGTATGTTACGCTGCACGTTTGGTATAAACTCTTCGAGAATCTGAGCTCTCCACCCCTCCCAACCGCCCCCCAGGGCATACTTTTTCTTTTAAGGTTTATACTTCCTGGCTTCTGCCTTTTGAATAACAATGAATTACGGCTTTTGTATAAATTGAAATAAAACAGCAGAGGAGGGTACAGCGGGAAGATGCTTAAAGATTTTCCTTTATAAAAGACTTTATAATTTATATCCCACACTACTTAATTGACATCTCAATTATAACTGATATATATTTTCAATCATTTAAAACATATATCATTTGTCTCTTTAAATACCAAATTGTGACCATGCTATGTGAATAACATAGCTTGTATGTTTGCCTCCCAGTGGAATTCCATCATCAGTAATTTTTCATGCTCTTGTTTTCCATTCAAATTTTTAAATGGCTACACAATTGTCTGGTAACTACCCATACTGTAGTTTCCTTTGCCCATTATTTGTTCCTGAATATATACCTTCTTGTCCTCCATTGTTTTATAGAATCTGTAATAAACTTACAGAATCTGGGAACAAAATTTTCCCGTTTTGGGGTAAATTCTAAGACATAAATATTTCTTTCAAAACTGTCACCAGTAATGTTTTGAATGTGCTTTTCCCTTTTTTATCTTTCCTTTTATAGGTATTCTATTAACTTCAATTTCTTTAATTACTAGCAAACTTAAATTTGTCATATGAATAAATGTATGCTTTGACAAAATTCTTCCAACATTTTCCACAATTGGGAGTTATAACTGTCTTTTAAATTCTTCTAGTTTCTTTATGCATATGCAAACTAATCAAAATATAGCTATATTCTTTTTTACACTCTCCCTGTTTTTATATAAAAGATAGCATACTACGCTCACTGTTCTGCATCTCTTTTTCCACTTGAAGGCCTTCCCATATAATAGCGAACTTCTTTATTCTTTTAAACAATTCTGTTGTTTCCCACTGAATAGGTGTGTCGTAAATTATTTACTCATGGACATTTAGCTGTTCCAATTATTTTCTGTTGTTGCTGGTGAATGCAGCAAGGCCCAGAAGGCTCTGAGCATTGCCGTCCTCCACCAGCTGTTTCAGCAGATCTCCAATCTGTTCAGCATAAGAGGTTGGCTGGGATGAAACTGTGCTGGAGAAATTCTTCACTGGACTTTATCAGCATTGGGAAATCCTAGAGAACTGCTTGATGTCTGAGTTGGGGATGGAAGGACTCTCCTGAGCTATGATGACTCCATACTGGCCCTGAAGAGGTACTTCCAAGGAATCGGTCTCTGTATGGAAAAGAAAGAATAGAGCTGCTGTACCTGGGAAGTTGTGAGAGAAAGAAATCATGCTATCCTTCTCTTTATTATCAAGTTTACAAGAATGATTAAGAGCTAAGGAACCACCCATGCTCTTCACGAAACAATTATTATGGACAGATATAATCATCACACTCCCAAATGTTTAGCCATTTCAACAGACTATTTTTTT